TCCCTCCAAAGATTTCTATTTTCTTTGATGCTTAGAGTTTGGAACCACTGGTTTTGGATGTACAAAGAAAAACATTACTAATGGGCATCAAACATTATTAACTAGATATCAAACTACATGTTCTATAAACATCTTAAACCCAATAGATCCAAAATTGAACATTTCCCCCTAGCAATTGAACATTGTCCTCTTCGTAACTTCCCTATTACTGTTAAGGGCACCACTTAGTCCCCTAGGCTTGTGCCTAAGTTTCATTCTAGTCTCCTAGTCCAACAGGCAGTTGGAGATTTGAGACTACAGGTCAGCAGAGACATTATGACTAGATAAGTAGAACATCATCTATTAAGAATCATCAGCAGAGAGAAGACAAGTGAGTTGATGACATGACCCCATAAAATAGCATAAAGGAGAGGAAAAGACTGCCCAGGGCAGAGCCCTTTGGGACACCAGTGGTAAGTGGATGAGACCTGGATGAAGAATTGGCAAAGGAAACTGAGAAGTGGTCAGAAAAATAGAAGGAGAACCAGGAGAGAGTATTGCCACAGAAAACTAAAAAGATGAGAATATCAGTGAGAAGAGGGTGATTGACAGTGTCAGAGTCAATGGAGAAGTCAACAAGGATCAGGAGTGGCAAATGGCTATTAGATTCAGCAATTAAGAGATCATCAGTAAATTTAGAGAGCAGTTTGGGTTAAATGGTGAAGTCAGAAACCAAATTGTAGAGTTAAAAAGCAAAGAGGATCCTTCCAATAAAGGAATGAGTACCTGAAGAAATACCTGAAGAAGTGAATGAAGGTTGATATTCTGTAACATCTCTAGGTATTACCAAAAAAAAAAAAGGACAATTCAAGAGAATTTCTCTCTGCTATTTCTTAGTTATGTGAACTTAAACAAGTTATCTTACCTCCCTGGGCTTGTTTTCTTATCTATAAATTAAGGATCATAGGTTTAAAGTGGAAAGGACTCTCAAAGGCTATCTAGTCCAATTGCCTCATTTTATAGATAAAGTAAATTGAGACTCACAGAACTGAAGTTATTTGTCCAAGGTAACAAAGACAGAATAGGATAAGCTAGAATTTGAACCCATTTCCTCTGCAACTACAGCAGTGAAATATACCAAGGGTATTGAACTATATGCTCTTTAAAATTCCCACCAGATCTAAATACTTGGAAATAGATTTCCAAGGAAAATTTCTACCAATTTCCAGACTCAAAACTGCTATCCTTCTTTCTCTTCAACCCTTATCTCATTCCTTTTGAACATTTTTCATTCCCCTCCCTGAATTCCTATTTTCTTTGATGTTTAGAATTTGGAACCACTGGTTTTGGAATGGACAAAGGAAAACATTACTGATGAACATCAAAACTATTAACAGCCATATTAAAGAATGCTCCAAAAGACTAATAGCAAAAGAAATAAAAATCAAAACATCCTTGAGTTTTTACCTCAAAATCAGCAAATTCAAAATGACAACAGATGGGAACAGTAATTATTGAAGGGGTTGTGGAAAGACAGTCATGCATTGTGCCTTGTAAGGGTAGCTATGAATTGGTCCAGCCATTCTGGAAAGCAATTGTACAAAGAAAGAAAGTGATTAAAATATCCATACCCTTTAACCCAGAGATTCCACCCTAAGCATATAACCTGAAGAGGTCAATGACAAAAAGTAAAGCTCCATATTAACCAAAATATTTATAGCACACACAACTTTCTTCCTTTTTTTTCAAAGCATAAAAGAACTGCAAAGTAGATACCTACTGAATGAGAATGACTAAACACACTGTATTAAGTGAAAATTATGGAATATTTCTGTGCTATCAGAAACAATGAACATGATGACTAGAGAAGCATGGAAAAACTTATTCAAAGTGTTGCAAAATGAGGTAAGCAAAACCAGGAAAACAATAATTAGAATGACTATAGCAGTATAAATGGAAAGAATAACAACAAAACAATTGAAACAATGTTTTTTAGTTTTAATAAATAAGCTTGACCTTAAGTATAACTATTTTTTGCAGAAATGTGGATTTGTGAGTGAAAACTACAAATGATATCAGATTTTTTTTTCAATATGATGGGTAATTTTGCTGAATTTGGTTTTCTTCCTTAAAAAAAGATTTTAAGGGGTGTCTCTGGAAGAAGAGAAGAGGAGAGATATGGTAGGAAATATAGATGATGGAAAAACTAAAAATATCAATAAATTTATTTTTAGATAATAGGTACTGAAAAACTAAGGAGACAGACTTCAACCAGCATGAAACTGTCTTACCAAAGCAGGACAAATACCCTCAGGTATTCAGAAACAGGCAGAGTTTCCAGGGTTGATTTATTTTTTTCCATTTCATAAATCTCCCTTCACATATCAAGTCATATACAAGTAAAATAAAATGAGGTTCTCCACAAAACCCCAAGGAAATTCTGAGAGAGTTCTCTGAGCTCCTTGAAACTCAGCCTCAAGTCTCTTCTCCACCAATCAGAGGTGTATGGTATGAGGCAGGGAAGAGGAAAGAAAGCAATTAAAAGAGTCAGGTGAGGAGTGGGAAGAAAGTGACTGGGTAATAGGAAGGTAGTATGCAGAACAGTGTAGAGAGAAGGTGGCAAGGGGAGGAATAATAAGGAGGAAAAGGAAACTGAGGAAGATGGTTGTCTTAACTCACCTCTTGGACACACAGATATGAATTTATTTCAGAAAGCAAAATAAAATAAATTGTAAAAGTTACAAAATCTCAGAGTTAGGGTAAATCTTAGAAGCCACCTACTCCAATACACTCCTAAACAAGAACATCCTCTACTGCATAGGTGACATAGATGACAATTGGTCATCCAGTCTTTGAAGACTTCCAGTGGAAGGGAACCCGCTACTTTTTGAGACCAAGCCTAAATTGGTCTTTGCAACTTCTACCCACTTTTCCTTCTTGGAGGCAAGAGGAACTAATACATCTCTTTTCTACAATAAAACCCTTCATACTCTACCATCAATTAGCGGTAGGCATAGAGAGAATCTGAAGAACAGTGTAAGGGGCTATACTTATTATTAAAGTAGTGTTAGCAACAATCTTATGTAGAAGCCTCAGAACCAGAATTTTAAGATAAGTTTGTGATGGCCCTGCTATCTTCTAGATCCTGAATCTCTTTCCCAAAACTGGGAGCAAAGGACAAAAAAAGAAAAATCAGGGCAGAAACTGTCTGATTGAAATACTGCTCTGAATTAGGAGGAGGAGCAAAGTAGCTGCTGTGTGTATGTAGTGGAGGGAAAATAGGAGTTTGGTCCCAACTTTGATCTCATTTAGCGGACTCAAGAAAGTCATCTGATCTGGTTGTCAACATGTAGGTTTGATCAATTCAATAGGCTGTGAGTGTAAGTGCTGGGGAGAAGTGCTCCCAACTGGAAAAAAAAAAAGAGTGCTTGTGTAACCAACTCTCATTCAGGTATTACAAACTCTTGAACTACCTGAGGAAAGCAGCTATTGTTGGGCAATTGGGGGCCAGCAGGCAGGGAGGACCCCTTCGGCAGCCCAGTCTCAGAAGTGGAAGGCTTCCAAGTCAAGTAACAAAGCATTTATTAAGCGTCTACTATATGTCAGAAGCTGGACTAAGCGCTTGGGATACAAAAGAGGGGGGGAAAGCCAAAAAACAAACACAGTCCCCAGTCCCCTTGCTCTTAGGGAGTTCACAGTCTAACAGGGAGAAACAACATGGAAACAACTATGTACAAACAAGATTTATATAGGATCAATGGGATATTCCACCGTTTTCCCCCACTTCACTTGGTTTGGCGCGTTAACTAGGGTCTTGAGCTCTAGTGACAGCGAGGAGGCTCCAGTGAAGAGAGAGGGGGAAAAAAAGACCCTCCCCCCCACTCCCAGCACGATGAAGGTAGGCAGTGTAGAATCGCTCCCCTCCCCTCCCAGTTCTTGTGTGTGTCTGTGTGTGTGTGTGTGTGTGTGTGTGTGTGTGTGCGCGCGTGTGTGTATGTATATGTGCGTGCGCGTGTCTCCCTCTCTCTCATACTCTGGCTGTAGGCAGACAGCCAAGGAGGCTGCTTCTCCCTCTCTCCAGCCTTTGCTGCTCCGGCTTCCTGCCGCCTCTGCAGTCACAGCCCGAGGATGGTGAGTCGGGGTTACCTTCCCTTGGTGTTTCTCCCCGTACTCCTAGCAGCCGCACCCGGGGTTCCCAGAAGGAGGAAAGGAGGGGGTGTTGTCTGGAGACCTTGTGGCGGGAGCCAGCTGTGGGGCCGAGAGAAGGGGTATCCACAGCTTTGGTCTCCTACATCATCCCTCTTTTTCTCTCTTATCCCCTGCGCTCTGAGCTGGGGGCTCGATGACCCTGGGGCGGGGTGAGAGAAGGGAGAGGTGGAGGGATTAGGGCTGCAGAGAGGCAGGAGGGAGCTAAGCAGAGGTTCAGTTTACAGGGGACACCAGGTGGAGGTGGGGCCGGCCTTGGCCTTAGCTGGTTGCGCGCCCCCTCCCCGAGAGGACAGGGACCTCCCCCTAGACAGCTCCCCGATGGTTACTCCTTCTTGCCTTTTCCCCAAGCTAGTGTACCTTCATTTCCCTGCCCCCCTAATTCCTCCTCCCTCCCCCAATTCCCTCTTCTTTTCTCCCCTCCTCCCCCCTTCCCCCAGTGACTAGTTCCCCCGTCTTGTCCCGCAGGACCCGCCCGGACGGGACGCCGCCGCTGTAGCTTCCCGGATCAGCTCTCCTCGTCCCGCTTGAAACAGGGAGCCACTCCGTCGTCTCCACCAAGGAATGGGGTTGCCCAAGAGTCAAACCAAGCCCAGCTGGGAGGCGTAGAAACGGGACCGCCGTCTGAGCCCCGCGCCGGTCAGCCCGGACCTTTCTTTTCCAGCCTCCTCCGGAGCCTCGATGGCGCTGTAGCCCTGAGTTTCTGAGCATACTCGCCAGCCTCCGTGGATTCTGCCACCGGCGCAGCCCCGGCAGGGCTCCCCTTTGCCCGCCTCTGCGCTGAGTGCCCGGTCTGGTCTGCCCAGCCGCTAGCCTGCTAGCCCCGCCCGCCTACCATGGCGCTGCGGCGCTTCCTGATGCTGCTGCTGCCGCTGCTGCTCTCCCTGGAGTCCCTGCACTTGCTGGTGCCTACGGCTGAGGCAGGGCCCCGGGGCCGCGGGAACCGGAATAACAGCACTGGCCCTGGAGCCGTCGGGGGCCTACGGGCTGGAGGGACAATGGTCAGGGGCAACCGAGAACTGAACGGGACGTCCCGCCAGCCGGCGGTCCTAGAGGGGGGGCGGCGGGGCCGGCCTTCGTCCAGTGTCACGGTCACCCACGAGACGTGTTGGGGCTACTACGATGTGAGCGGCCAGTATGACAAGGAGTTTGAGTGCAACAACAGCGAGAGCGGCTTCCTGTATTGCTGTGGTACTTGCTTCTACCGCTTTTGCTGCAACAAGCGGGGAGAGAAACTGGATCAGCACCAGTGTAAGAACTATGTGAGCCCTGGGTGGATCCAGACTCCTAGCACCCAGGTGATTCCTCAGGATATCCAGAACAAGTACGACCCAGAGAAGGACAAGACCAACTTCACTGTCTACATCACCTGCGGAGTAATCGCTTTCGTCATCATCGCTGTAGTCTTTGCCAAAGTCTCCTATGATAAGGCCCACCGCCCCCCGAGGGAGATGAACATCCACAGGTGAGAGGGGAAGAGAAGGGAAGTCCCATATTTTCCATGTTTCTCCAATGGTTGCTACTATTCCTACCCTGACTCCCCAGATCTCTTTCTCTCTTGACTCTTTTAAACGCTCTTTGCTTTGTTGTCTCTCTTCTTTACAATGTCACCCAATATGATTGACTGGTGTCTGATCTCTCCATCACTCTTCTGGTTCAAAATAAGCCGAAGACTTAAATGTAGTTAGCAGAGGTTTCTTCTACCCACCCACCTTAGCCTTTTCTCCACTCCTTCAGCTCCTTTGCCTGACTCTAAACAGTCACTGACCTAGCTTTGGACAGCCTTTCTGGTTAGGAATATAGTCTAGGAATTTTCCAAATAATCTGAATTGGTTCTCCTGGGGTTTTCTTTTCAATGCATGTAAACATAGTTCCTTTTAATGGCATTTTTTTTTAGCATGGTGAATCAACAGACTGTGTGTTTTGTAATGCAAACTGCCCCCAAGCTGGTGACTTACTGGAAATGGTAGTTTAAGCTTGAAAGGAAGGTGGTATTGGGAAAATTGTTTATCAAATCCATTGCGACAAAAATTGGATTCCTCCCCTCCCATTCCATTTTATAAGTTAGGACACAAGTATTTCATTTCAAAAACACAATACACCAACACATCATCCAGGTAGATTAAAAGCTCATAAGATTGAAGAAACTGCCTCCTCCTGGTGAACATCTCACACTGAAACCTAATCACTTCCAACAATCCATTTTGAAAAGTCAAAGCAGAAGCCCCTTGGATGAAAAGTTAGGTCCTTTTCCAGTTCCCTCTCAACTAAGTAGCTGGACACTGCTTACTTGAGTGCATTGAAGGCACAGGTACAGCCCTCAGGAAACTGCATGATTTCTCATACATTGTGTGAACATTGACCTAATAACTAGATGCCCTAAGCATGTTTCCTTGGGTCCCTCGGTCAGCCTTGTAATGAGCTGTTGCCCCCTTCCTCTTATCTAATTTGGCATTAAAGTGCATACACACATACATACATATATACATACATGCATAAACATACATACATACAATATAGAGCTGTTAAGGAATCTAAAAGGTCACTTGGTCCAATCCCCTCATTTTATAGGGGAGGAAAACAAAGTGTTATATTCAAAGTCACTAGAGAGCAGAGCCAGAATTCAAACCCATGTCTCCTGACTTCAAACTCAGTGCTCTTTCTATTACACCACCTCCATACTCTTGAGGGCTCTGTTTGTTGTTCAGTTCTTCCTGAAAGCCTGATCCCAGAATTTAAAAGAGGAAAAAGGCAAGTATAACTTTCCCAATACACTGAAAAGGATGATTGGTTTATTTCTGATAACATGGAAACTGAGAAAAGATACTCCTCCAACATGTTTCACTTAAACTGGTTTGACAATATGGGAGTTTCAATGCTAAGAAAAGCCCCAATATTAAAAATAGGATACTCTCAGAAAAACAGTTCATTTCCTAAGAAATAGTTACTTCCCACCCCTACCTTCCTGAACATACTTTTAAACATCACCTGCAATGTGTCTAGCACTGTGCACTCTCTGAAGATTTATCAGAAATGGTAGCTAAGGCTAAATGGAAGAGTGAAGTTGGGGGAGGGAGAAGTAGAGCAGGTGAAAGAAACACCTCGGCTTAAGGTACCCTTCTTAGTGTCTCTGCAAATGATATTGAATGTCCTGCTTAATGGAAAGGATTGTTTCTTGGATTGGCTTATTCAATTTTCCTTTCAACCATAAAACAAGCTTACTTTTGCCTTGGGGTTGAGAGAGAAGGGAGGAGCCATTCATTTCAACTGTGTCCTTATTTTGACTTGTGTTCCCAAGTCTGATTCCCTTCTCTGAGTAAGTTTATTGCAATTTTGGGATTATATCTCTCTTTTACTAACTCCTACCAGAAAATTAAAGTGGAAAGAACATTAGCCAAGGGGACAGGATTGCAGGGGTTTGTTCTCTGATGTCTCAACTAATAGTGTGGCTTTGGGAAAATCATCTCCCTTTTCTTGGCCTCAATTTGCTCAGCTGTTTGAACTAGATGCTTTCCAAAGTTCTTTCCTTTTCTAACATTCTATGATGTTATTAAGTAGTTCAATTCAACAAATATTCAAATACTGACTATGTAAAAAGCACTGTGCTAGGTTTGGGGAATATGAAAGTAAATCTGGCACATGCCCTTATATCAAGGAGCTTACATTCTAACAAACAAGGACACAAATAATTGATAGAAGAAATGTGATAAATACATAAGAGAGGTCTGGGTTTTGTGAGATGTTTAAGAAGGGAGAGATGAGGCATCTGCAGTAGAACTGGGACTGTAACACTTACTAGCTATGTGATCTCTCTAGACCTCATTGTCTTTACCTGCAAAATGGGAGTATTTGATTTCATGACCACTAAGCTTTGGCCGGTTTTGACATTAGGGTGTTCATATATTGATTTCACCAAGGGGGGGAGTTGGGAAGACATCAAGGAAAAATAAATACCTGGGTTGGGCCTTGAAGGAAGGAAAGGGCATTATTATTATTAGGCAGAAATGGGATGTGGAAGAAATATGCTCCAGGTATGAGAGATGGTATGAGCAAGGATTAAAATAGGGAGAGGGAATGATTAACATAGAATAGTTGGAGGGGAGCATAGGAGATAAGACTGGAAAAGGTTAGGTTAGCAATGAGTTGTACCAGAGATTGCAAGTGAGTCTCAAGATCTTAAACAGAATGTTGGCAGTGATGGGCAGTGTGGTTTGTCCAGGGAACGTCAGACAGAAGAGCGATTTATATCTAGTAGAGGACAAAGAAGAAAATAGGATATGTTATAATTTACATAGTACTCAAATACATCCTTTTGAAGAGGAAATCTGAGGATATCCTACCCCACTGTGAGCATAGCCTTTAGGCACTAGTCAGTCAAGTTGTTCTGAGTTCTGGGGCAAGAGATCTAAAATATTTCAAAGGGGAATTTGGCATTATTTTGGCAGAGGTCAGGGTAAGGAAATGGCCTCCGAGATAGGAAAGCAATTTTCATGTGGATATGGTCAGGTTAAGCAACCATCAGAATACCCCAACACACATTCCTTTAGTATCAAGTCTTCTAACCATTCGTACCTTGCAGAGAATAAACTTATTTTTCCTAAATTGGTTAGTGTACAAACAGACCGGGCTCTATGACTATACTTCTGAGTAGGTAAGAATCTGTGCTAGAAGAAAATTGTCAGCTCTCTGGGCTCTAACCAATGAGTAGGAACTCAAGTTCAGTTCTCTAAACCTGAAGGAATGAGGGAAAGAGGCAGATCCTCTGGAAGGATAACCAGAATTCATCCACTGGCCATGAAAAAACCAAAACAGAATGCTCTCCACCCTTGCTGTCTGAATTTTCTAAAAGAGAAACAGTCATTTTTTGGATGCTGCTCTGTTCTCTGACACTGTTTCTATGCCTTAACATTTTTCTTTTGGATCTCCAATGGTTCAGGTTGACATGTCTGTTTCTTGTCTACCAACAACAATTTATTAGAATTTTCATGAGCAGTTGCTGTGTCCCCTTAGAAAAGCAGCCCCAGGGACAGAAAAATGTGTCCCAGCAGTGGTTGGGGGTGGGGAGTGGGGGAGGGAATGACTGGGTCCAAGGATATTTGTAGGAAACTTCAGCAGAGACCCTGGTTTCAGCCTGATATTAAATTCTGTACTAGCTGTCTCCTTTCCAAACCTGCTCCTTCCTTCACACCCTGAGTTGATTCATTAGTGTCTTAGAGACAAGAATCACTCAGAAGGAAGAACTGTATGGTTCTTTTTTCTTTCTTCCTTTTTTCTATGGCTAATTAACAGATGGGTCAGGGAGCTATTAAGATTCTCTAGACACAGTTGGTGAAGTCAGAGCACAGAGAGAGACTGCCCTGTGCCTTCCCACTCCCAATCACCAGGAGGGGGTGAGGGAACACAGAGCCCAGAGACTGTGGGAGGGGAAAACTGAGTGGAGCTCCCTTTCTTATTAGGGAAAAAAAAGATTAGAAGTTAAATTCCCCTTCCCCCTCTCCATGCACAAGGGCACTATGGTAGGAAACCAAAGGAAATCTTCTTTAACCATCCAGAATTTAATTGCAAGCTAGGAGATCTATGTTTTCTTTTTACAAAGCACACAATGGCAGACGCCTAGCAACATTAGAAGCCAATTTTAAATTCAAATCAATAAACATTTATTGAATGCCTACTGTGTGCCTGAAATGTTCTAGGCCCTATAGATAGATACACAGACAAAAGTGAAAACAGTCCCTTTCCTCAAGGGGCTTATGTATTCTATTGTAGAAAAACAATACATATGTAGATAAATGTATATAAAATACATACAAAGAAATTGGGAAGGGGGTGCAGCAATTAGCAACCAGAGGGTCAGGAAGGCCTTCTATAATAGGAGCTTTTTTAAAAATTATTATTATCTGTGCTTTGAAGGAAGCTAGGGATTCTAGGAAGTGAAGGTACAAGAACGTTCAAGGCATGGGGGTCAACCTTCACAAAGCTATAGAGGTTGTAGATGGTGTGTCTGCAGGCCAATTTTGATGGAATATAGGCTTTGTGAAGGAAAGAATTGTGTGATCAGTCTGAAAAAGTGGGAATTAGATTGTGAAGAATGTTAAATTTATCTTTGATCTTAGAGGAACTTGGGAGCCACAGAAACTTCTTGAGCAGGAGAGTGCCATGGTTAGACACGTGCTTTAGAAATATCAGTTTGACTGGTACATGGAGAATGGACTGGAGAAGGGAGAGTCTGCATCCAGGAAGACAGATTAGGAGGCTTTTGAAATAGTCGCTTCAGGAGGTGATGAAAGCCTGAGTTTGTGTGGTGTCCATGTAATTGGAAAGTTGTTGGGGAGGAAGAATCACAGGGCTTGGCAACTGGTAGATGTAAAGACAATAGAGTTGAAAATAATTCGAAAGTTGTAAACCTGGTAGATTGGAAGCATGGTAGTGCTTTTGAGAGAAATAGTGAAATTTGGAGGAGACATC